CTGGCCTTGAACTCACAGAGATCCACCAGGCTCTGCCTCCCGAGTGCTGGGATTAAAGGCGTGCAAGATTATTACAAAGGACTTACAGACAAATTTTCACTCACTAAAATATGGCCACCGAAGCCTTACCATATGTGTGCATGCTGGAGATACAGAACAAGCAAGAGAGACATGCTACCTGCCCACACATGAAGTCAGAATCCTAATTCATACACATAGGAAACTGCAGACCCTAGGTCAGTCAGTCTTAAGGAAAAACATTATGGGACTCAAGAGTGCTACACATTTTTCTGTGTCTGAGACCTCTAGGTACAACTTGCTGGGGCAGACACGGGCTGCGACGAATAAACCGCAATGCTTGTAAAGAGCCAGACTCGAGACCCCCTCAAGTCGCAGATATGAAGCCATGCCCACCCATTACAGCCCCGCCCCAGACAGCACAACCCCACTCTTGCACTGAAGCCCAGACCCAACCGAACCCCATCTTCCCCTCCTCATCCCTGCCGGCCCTCCCCTTAGCTGTCTCAGATGTCATGCCCCGCCCGCTCTGACGTCACGGCTCCGTCCTGTCCGTCACACCACGCCTCTCGACACTGGCCGGAGACACGCCCTGGACTGCAGCGAAGTTCTGTCACTCAGCCCCTTGACAGCAGCCCCCACCCCCCGAATCCTTTAATAGCCCCTTCGCTCAGCATTTTATCCCACCTTCCCCTCAATCTAGGAAGGGAACCCCGCCCCTCGACACCACCCCGACTGGCTCTTCAGCACTGCCTCGTCACCCCACCTACCCTGCTCAAGACCCGCCTTCCCCGATGCAGCGCAGGCCCTTCACTCCGCCCACTCGCCTGCAGTCTAGACTCAACTTTATGCCCCTTCGCATGACGTCATGCCTCCCACACCGGTCCCCTCGGGTTGCCCAGCTCCTCACCAGCTCGAACCGGTTGTTGACACGGACGCCTTCCTTCCCTGCGCCCCCGGGGCGCCGGCCACCCAACCCTTGTTTTGGTCCCTCTTCCTCCGCGTCATCGTCATCAAGGAGGGCAAACTGCAAGGCGTCGGGCCCTAGGGGTTCCTGGCCGCGCTGTTCCCCCCTCAGCCTCCGGAGGGCCCGGCGCGACATAGGACCCGACAGCCTGCTGTAGGCAGAGGGACGAGGAAGAGCAGCAGAGCGGCGGCGCCTGCGCACTTGCGGCGCGCTGGCGCAAGGTTGGCGTGTCGCGTTTGCGCGCAGCGGCTCTCCGGAACTTCCTCCCAATTACCCGTGGAGTCAGAGAAGGTGCGAGGGTGCCCCAGGGAGTTCTCGCGAGAGTTGGGCCCTAGCCGCGGCGTTGCACCGGCAGTAGTGCGGTATTTCTTCGGCTTTCGAGGTGTCAGGGTTGCAGACAACCGGCTGTGACGCGGGCGGGGACGCGCAGGCTCAGAACGCTGCAAGCCACTGACACGATTCCTGGGGCTGGCGGGCGGGGCAGGAGGGCTTTTAGGTGGGGCCAGGTGAGGAGGGAGTGAGAACAGGTGCACATGCTGCAAGGGTCCCCGGGCAAAGAGACTGTTCTCATATGACAGGAGCGACGGACGCAGTCCCGAACCCCTCTCTGCATAGCCCACCCATGCGACCGTCCGATGTTCCCCACCTCCACATTGTAGTAGACTGCAAAGGGACAGTTTCCGCCTTAATAAAGTCTAAACCGAGGAGCTTATTCAATATGCAGATTCCTGCATATCTCCTCTCCATGAGGTGCACGGAACCGATTTAGGTTTTCGAATTGCTTTTTAGTGTCGTGAACGCAACAGGGGATGCTCGTGTTATGGTGGTGTTGGGTGAGGTGTAGCTGTCTAGGTGTGGATCGGTGGTCCGAAGTCAAGGTGGCCAGCCCTACGTGAATTCTAATTCAGGAAGGTTTTCACAGTAGGGATGTAGGGACCCTCTGCACA